AATTACTTTTAAGGATATTTTCCATATCTAATCAGAATATTTTAAAATACCAGTCAATATTACATTTAAAAATTAAGTATATTTTTCGTATAATTTAAACTTATTTATTATTATAGAACACTATTTTAAATATACTGTTCGTACAAATTTCAGTATATTTTAAGAATATTATTACTATATAAGGATATTTTAACCATAAAACTAGTACAGTTTAAGGATGTAGACTTTTTATAGGGCTAATTGATATTTAGAAAAAGAAAAATTAAAGAAAGTATTATAAAATAATAAAATTAGCAACAAACAGATATGTTAGTAGAAAATTCAGTATAAATTTGTGGAGCCAAAAACGTTAATTATTGAAATTAATAAAAAATTGGTAGTTTGTAAAAGTTAGTATACGAATTTGTGTTGAAATTAGTAAAAATTAGTAATTGTAAATTTAGTATACGAATTTGCATTAAATTAGTAAAAAATTAGTAATTCGTAAAAGTTAGTATATGAATCGCATTAAATTAATAAAAATTTGTAAAAAATTAGTAATTTGTAAAAGTTAGTATATGAATTGCATTAAATTAATAAAAATTTGTAAAAAATTAGTAATTTGTAAAAGTTAGTATATGAATCATGTCAAATTAATAAAAATTTGTAAAAAATTAGTAATTCGTAAAAGTTAGTATATGAATCGCGTTAAATTAATAAAAATTTGCAAAAAATTAGTAATTCGTAAAAATTAGTATATGAATCATGTTAAATTAATAAAAATTTATAAAAAATTAGTAATTCGTAAAAGTTAGTATATGAATCGTGTTAAATTAATAAAAATTTGTAAAAAATTAGTAATTCGTAAAAGTTAGTATATGAATCGCATTAAATTAATAAAAATTTGTAAAAAATTAGTAATTAGTAAAAGTTAGTATATGAATCGCGTTAAATTAATAAAAATTTGTAAAAAATTAGTAATTCATAAAAGTTAGTAGTATATGAATTGTGTTAAATTAATAAAAATTTGTAAATTATCGTAAAAGATGAAATTAGTATTGAAATCAGTTGCAAAAATTAGTATCAAATATGATTGTCAAAACTCAACAAATCCTTGCTTCTCTTTCGTTAGGCTCTTCAGATGATTTTTCAGTTGCATTCGATTTGGAATCCATCAAGTCGTCATCAACATCTTCGTCTTTATCATCATTGTCACTTATTTGGACTATGCTTCTTTTGCCCTTGGCTTTTTTGAAAAAATGCTTGAATTCGATATCATCGATCTCACTTGCTCTGATTTTTTTCATTTTTTGTACTGAATGCATCGTTAATTTCCATAAGCGTACTGAAATCCTCTTTTAAGCTTTTTAATTCCTTAAAAATATCTACGTTTGTTTTTTCTAACTTCGTGTTTTTATTACACAAATCAGCTATTATCGCACGTAATTTATGATTTTCTAAAATTTATTAACCAAATTTGGAAACAAACAAACTTTCAATGTAAAGCAACTAAAACAACCAATTTTAGCAATTTTGTTACAATTATACCAATTTCCAAAGATGGATTATCATCATAAAGGTCTAAATTATGGCGAAGATCCTTTTGCTGTTCTAAATAGGAATCTGGAACCTTGAAATTTTTATATTGTTCTTTCATATGCTGAACTTTTAATTTTGAAGTAACGGTCGATTTGCTAGTGGTAGCAGGCTCGTTGCTAATGGTGGCAGCAGAAGTAATTTCAGAAATTTCAGAAGCTCTTTTGCTAGTGGTGGCTGCGGTGGCGGCAGGAGTAATTTCAGATAAATATTTATAAACTTTGGTAATTTTTTTTTTTCTTGTTGGGACATGGTGAAAGTAAAAAATTAAGAGAAAGAGAAAGAAAAGAGAGATGAGAGAGAAAAAATTCAAAATTTAGACTTTATAGCTTAAAATCAGTCGAATTAAGCTTTTTTCTTATAAGCTTAATCACAATCAAATTATCATGATATTGTATTTACTGTCGATTTCTTAAAAAATTTTTAACAATTAAATTTATCCCTTAAATAATTAAATGATCTTTTTTATTCTTTTGATTATACGACGAATTTCTTATATTGTTCTTTAAAAAAGGATCTAATTTAACTCCTATGTATTACTTTGATTATATGGCGAATTTTTTATATTGTTCTTTAAAAAATAATCTTAATTGAATAATTGAAAACATATTATAGCGATTTATAATGTGAAATTGAATTTGTTCGATTTGTAGCGCAGCAGGAATTTACTTTTTAAAAAGAATTAAATTGACATTATTTAAAAATATATTGAAATAAATATTGTAAATTTTTTATTTTATAAAATGAGTAGACGAAAGAGATCAGTTTCTGCTTTACTTAGCAATGATGAAGAATCAATTACAGCTCGCTCTTCTCGTAAAAATAGAGCGATCTCTAGAGTAATTGATGAAGAATCTGAAGAATCAACTTTGATTATACATACACATGACAGAAGAATGGTTCCTTGCAATTGTTCTAAATGTAACGAAAAAATAGTAGATGTTTGTACAAAATTGAACCATAAGGCTGATCGAGATTTGGATGATGATTAAGATTCGGAAGTTGTTCAAGATTATAGTAATCCTTTATCATCATCATTTGAAGATTATAATAATCCTTTACCATCATTATTTGAAAATTATAGTAATTCTTTACCATTATCATCTAAAGATTATGGTAATCCTTTACCAAAAGATAACCCAGTATTGTCTGACGAAGATTCAGATAATAATTAAAACGTAATTTAATGAATGGAAATGGAGAAAATAGACGACTTATCAACTGATTTACTTCATCGACAACGTTTGAGAAGATATGCAAATCAACAAGCAACAATTACCGAAGAAGAAATTCCTCCAGAATTATTCATAACTGATAAAGAATCAAGCGAAACTGACGAAGAATCAAATGAAAGTGAAATCAATAATGGCGATAATAATGATTATGAGTATACTGAAATTTTTAAGAATTATGCCCCACCTGTTTATGAGCAATTTCAAGATCGAATTAGTCCAGATACAAATGCCAATAGACAATTTTTGTGGATTTTGCTGTGGATAATGAGCTTTCGCAAAAGATTTAATATTCCAGAAATAGCAACAGAAGCGCTTATTCAATTCATAAAACTGTTATTGATAGAAATCGGCAGTTCTAATTTTGAAGAATTTCCTGACTCTTTATACTTAGCAAGAAATGTTCTTAGGCTAAAAGATCAATATCATAACTTTGTGGCATGTCTGAAATGCCACAAATTATATAATAAAAAGGAAGTAGAAGAATTTCAGCAAAATGGAAATCTTACAGTTATGAAGTGTAGTCATGTTGAATTTCCTAATTCGACATCTAGGAGATTGAAATAATGCCAGAAGCCTTTAGCAGAAAAATCAACGTTATTACATGGCTGTATTAAAATTCGATCTGAGAAGATATTTCCATTTGCTAGTATCAGAAATCAATTAGCATCAATGTATTGCCGGCCAGAATTCAAAAGAAACTTATGTGAGTTACGTCACTAGTCTGAACGCAAACGATTTGATGATATTTTAACTGATATTTATGACGGTTAGGTCTGGAAAAATTTTAAAGAAACAAGCGATGAAAATTCGTCAAAATTTTTTTGACCTGAAGTAGCTGATTCTAATCTTGGTTTAATGTTGAATCTCGACTAATTTCAACCATATGATAGTGCTGTCCATAGTACCGGAGTAATATATGCTGCAATTTGTAATCTACTATGGGATATGCAGTTTAAACGTAAAAATATGTTGGTTCTTAGTTTGTTGCCTGGTCTAAACGAAATGAGTCTCCACCAAATTAACCATTATTTGGTGCCAATTGTCAACAAATTAGTGTTATTTTGGGACGGAGTGACATTTGATAACACTTTTGAATATCAAGAATCAAGAAAAATTTGAGCGGCACTGATACTCATTTCGTGCGATATTCCCGTGGCAAGAAAAATATGTGGGCATATTTTAGCTCTTTCATCATGTTATAGATGTGAAAAAAAAGCAAATTACAAAAATTATAAACATAATTTCGCTGAAATGGATAATATGAGCGAATGGTTCATCAATCAAGATTTGGCACAATTTCGTGAGAATGCTCTTAGATGGCGTCACTGCAATTCAAATGCTGCAAGGAATTACTTTGTAAAAACTACTGGCGTAAGGTGATCTGAATTGCTGAGATTGCCATATTTTGACACAATTCAGTTTTTATCAATTGATCTAATGCACTGCCTATTCTTAGGCATTGCAAAGTGGATTGTTAAGTGGATTTGGGTTGATGAAAATATATTAAAACCAGAAACTTTAAAAGAAATTCAAAAGAAAATGAATCAATTCCAAGTATCAGCTGACATAGGTAAGATCCCAGGTAAAGCTCCAAACGATTTGGGCTAAACCGGAGAACCGGTCCAAAATTGGCTCAAAATTCGGTTTGGTTCAGTTCGGGTATTAGAACTGAAAAACTGGCGGTTCAGTTCAGTTTAATCCGATTTTTTATAAAAATGCAAAAAATCAAATAGCCGGCCATCTAGTGATCGTACAAAGTTGAGCCATATATCATTGGATTCCTCTCGACGAGATGACGCGTCAAATGGTGGTAAGATCATATCTCTAGCATCGATAGAACACACGTTAAACCACGCTAAATGATTTATAAATAATTGGAATTAGCAAGCTATCTATCGGTGCTAGAGACATGATCATAGCACCATTCGACGTGTCTCAGTGAGACGAATCTAATGAATATAAATTCGTTCGTATACGACCACTGGATGGTGAATAATATCAAGTTTTGCATTTTTTAAAATTTTTGAGCGTTAAAAATTAAAAATTCTGATACATGAATTTATTTGTCATCCAATGGTCGTACAAATATGAACTAGGACTCATTGGATTCGTCTCAATGAGACATGTCGAATGGTGGTAAGATCACGTCTCTAGTATCGATAGATAGCTTGCTAATGCCAATTTTTTATAAATTATTTAGCGTGAATAATACTTATGATCTATTAATGCTAGAGACATGATCTCACCACCATTCGACTCGTCTCATCGAGACGAATCTAATGAGTCCTAATTCATATTTGTATGACCATTGGACGATGAATAAATTCATGTATCAGAATTTTTAATTTTTAACGCTCAAAAATTTTAAAAAAATGCGAAACTTGATATTATTCGCCATCCAGTGGTCGTATATGAACGAATTTATATTCATTGGATTCGTCTCACTGAAACGCGTTGAATAGTGCTATGATCATGTCTCTAGTACCAATAGATAGCTTGCTAATTCCAATTATTTATAAATTATTTAGTGTGGGTTAACGTGTGTTCTATCGATGTTAGAGATATGATCTTACCACCATTCGACGCGTCTCGTCAAGACGAATCCAATGATATATGGCTCGACTTTATACGATTACTAGATGGCCGGCTATTCGATTTTCACATTTTTATAAAAATTGGATTAAACTGAACTGAACTGCCAGTTTTTCGGTTTAGTTCTTACAGATTTCAGTTTAATCCGAACCATCTATAATCTGGACCAAACCGACCTGTTCAGAGCTTTAATCCCAGAAAAGGTGGAATGTGGCGAAGGTTTTGCGAATTTTACGGCCGATTAGTGGTGAATATTTTTTAACATTTATGCCACAGTGTCACTTTGGAAACATCTTTCTGGTGTAGATAAGAAGATTCTTACACGCTTTGTAAGAATTTGCTCGATTTTGGTAGGATGAATTGTTCAATCCAATTTAATGGATGAAGCTCACCAAAAATTGGTTGAAATCGTAAAAATAATTGAGCAAAATTACGGTTGAGATATGATAATTCTGAACCTTCACCTTTCGCTCCATTTATACGAATGTGCAAAAGATTTTGGGCCTCTTTACGCCTTTTGGTGTTTTTCGTTTGAGCGCATGAATGGCGTGCTAGGTAAGATGCTGACTTCTAAAAATATCCTTTTTCTTCTAAAATTAATTTTAAATTCCATTCCTTTATTTATTTTTTAGGTTCTTTGTCTAATAACCATCAGAAAATTGAACCAGAGCTCATGCGCTGAATTATGAATGATAAACAAATTAATAATATTGTTAGTTCTGAAATAGTTGATACAAAAGGTCTCGATATACTTGATACCAGACCTTCAGTCGGTTCAATTTCAGAACCCAACGAATTTACTTCAGTTGAAATGGAGCGATATTTGCTATACTTGCAAAATATTAAAGAATCTCTGATTGCTGGATGCAAAGCATTTCCAGGAGAAATGCTAGACCCTTCCTCAGAAAAAGTTATAATGTCAAGTGAAATGCTTGACATAATGGTAGATTATTATAATGTGACCTACCCAGCAAATAATTTTCAAAAACCATTTGGAGAAGAACCCGAAGATTCAATTATTATTTGCGTCAGAATGAATCAATTCTGAAGATGCAGAATTGGTTCTGAAATATTCGGCTCAAAAATGTCATCTCGTTATGTGAAAAGTTTATTTGTTACGGCAAAATTTATAACGATTGATGATGATGTTGACGTTTACCCTGGTCAAGTTCAATATTATTTTACTCATACAGTTGACCTTCTGAATGGTCTTGCTGAGCATTTTTTAGCTTATGTCTAATGGTATAAACATGCAGGCTCTAGAAATATTCAATATTATTTCAGTAGTAATAATGACATTAATACTTGTAATGTTAAGCTATGGTGCGCCGAATTTTATCAAGAGTCACGTGATTGTATTATTCCGGTTCATCATATTCTCAATTTATTCCAGTAAATTACCAAATTTCAGACCAAAGGAATGCAAGAGAGTATTTAGCCGTAAATCAAATAAATAGAAAATACCATATTCGCTAATAGATTCTTATTTGTCAATTTATAGATTAAAACTGGATTTATTATGATTTATCCAGATTTATTGGTATTTGATCGAGTTTGGGAGGATAAATTAAATTAAATGTCAAATTTATTATGATTTATTATATTTATTATGATTTATCTGGATTTATTGGGTTTGGGAGGATAAGAATTAACTTTAATTAAAGTTCATAATTTATGTTGTTTAATGATTTTATTATATGCTAATTTTAAATTAAATGTCAAATTTTTATTGTCATAAATCGGAAATGCCGAATTGTGTAAATTGTCTGATTATTTTAAATCAGAAATGCTGAATTTTGTAAATTTTCTGATTGTTTTAAATCGGAAATGCCGAATTGTGTAAATTTTCTGAATTTTAGCTGAATTTAGTTTGATTTTCAGCTGATTTATCACATGTCTGATTTGCCTTATTTTGACTAGTGCATTAGTAGGACGACCACCTGCTATACGCCAGTCTTCATTCCAAGCATCTTCTACAGCTCTTAACTTGACTATTGTATTTTCTGGTTGGCCAACAGCCTCATTTAATGCATTAGCTCCTATCTGTACTGAAGTTCGCCCATTTACTGCAACTAAGTTAGCCTGCCCTGTATTATCGAGTAAATTAGTTAGCTTCCAATTCTGCTTTGTAGTAATCTCATCATCGAACCATTCTAAAGTCCTTCCTCTCATACAGGCTCTTAAATGTCCTATTGTATTATCTCTTCCTGTTAGAGAATCTGCTACATTATCATTTATATCTATTTCCCGATTCTGCAAGTCTAGTCTAAGTTGTGCAAGAAAGTCTGGGATACTATCATCCCAGTCGAAATATGGATGAGGTATTCCTGCCATGTTTACTTGATTAGGTGGATTATTCTGAAGCGCCAAAATTTGTCCCTGTAAATTTAAATTATTCTGTTGCTCTGCTTGGGTTTTATTTTTCCATTTCTTTTATCTTTCATAGATCCTGTCTCGATTAAATTCTAACAGACCTATATCTCCTCTACTTCGCTGTAAGTGGTGGGCATTTCGCTGATACAATAATTGTAAGGCAAATTTTTCTTGTACCAGCACACCTATACGGGCTTGTTTTCTTGCCATATTATTTATCATTCTATTTACCTGGTTTTGAGTATTAATTTGATATTGATGGAGATCACCAATAATATTAGTTATCCTACTTTCAGCAAGTTGCCTTCGTATAATTTCATTATCACGCTTAGCTTTTGCATCATAATACCTTCGTTGCTTACAGACTAAATCCTGATGCAAATTATTTTCTTTTTAGCGTATCTGCCTTGTAGCTCTTTTTATTTAGTCTATAAGAATATCCCTAGTTGTTGTTCTATTATCTACATAACCATCTATAGCATTTGCTAGCTCTGTGATTGTGGCCATATTATCATCAGAATTATACAAGTCTGGAGAATTCCCTCGTTCAAGCGAAGTTTTTCGTGATGAGATGCTTCTGATCTGGTATCACAATTTTTTAACTTGTTTCTCAAATTCTACTAACTGCTCTTCTAAACTAGAAATATATTTTCCCTTATCTCGCACATCTTTTCTAGCTTGATATAGCTAACTTTTTAGGGTAGAGATTTCAGATTTTAACTCTACTATCTCTTCTTTTGAAGCATTTTCAAGGCGCTCTATCTCCCTATTGAGATCTTGAATTTCTTTCTCACATCAGGCATAATTCTGTTCTAATTGATTAATTCGTCTCTCATTCTGACGATTAGTATCAACTTCTATCTGCAATTCACTACGAAGATGAAAGTTCTCTTCTTTCAGCTCAGCTTTATGTTCTTCACATATTCTTTTCTGCCTTGAGTGAGATCTGCAAAATGACATTCTTTTTTCGTGATTATAAAAGAGAATGAGAAAACCCCTTGGATCAATTTATATAGATCCTCAGAAAGCATATGATCTTAACTGGGATCTGGGTTAAGAACTAATCTGGAAAATTTGGCAGAGGTGATACATTTCATGTATAACGCCTTCGACTAATTTTACTAGGCGATCATGTATGCAGATTATTTAGCGTAAAAAATAAAGAATAAGTTATACATACATTGTACTTTTGGTTAAATAATACTAATTTTCAGTTAAAAGCAATAGTCTATAATGTAGAATATTTCTCAGAATCAGTCAAGTCAGTTAGACAATTGTGATTAGTGTTTCATTCTTCAATCTCAACACAGTACCTTTTGGCTGTTTTGCATACCGAGACTAGATAAATATTTCGCCTGTATCACTTTTGCAATTTGATGACTGATAAGAAGTTGGTGGAATCATTTCTTGGTTACCAGCAGAGGTAACAGAAATACAAGCTGGCTCAAATTTTGGAGTACTTGGTATAGTATTTTCTGCTATAGTTGCTTTGGCTGAAAGGTAAGCTTCATAGCTGATTAAATGAGTATCATAATCATATGATACCAATGCCAACTTATCCTTTTCTGAGTGTGAGGTAGATTGGGAGTAGACAGAGACGATTAATTTTAGCCTCTTCTTGTAATATGTATTGTTTATATTGCCAGATCTGAAATTCCTTTGTATCAATAGATTTGAGAATTTCATTTCTTCTTGCATGTTCATTCGAAATAGTATTTCCAGAAATACATCTCTTCAAGTGGTTATCTCTATAGCGATCCTCAAAAAGACTATTTGCAGGTGTGAAAACTAAGGAGTCACATATACTGCAATATATATAATTGGTTGGACGATTATGAATCCTATCATCTATATATAGCTTTCCATACATTGTAATCTATCCATTCTTAGAAAGGATTCTTGGGTTCTCTTCTAGTATTTTCCTAAATGGATCACGAATGTGAGAGCATCACATTTCTGGTGTTTCATGATCATATTGACTACCTAAAAGCCTTAATGCTTCTAATATTCTTTGATATTTTTCAAAGTTTGTATTATCATGACTAAGTGAACTAAGCTTAGAATAGGCTCTACTATCTAAATCCATATTAGTGTTTTAATAGTTTATAGTAATTATAGCATTTTTAAGCAATTTCGGTATGTTGTATTGATTCTTTATCAACCTATACTAGACAATAACACCATTCAAATTTACTGGTTAAGATATTTATAGCTATTTCACTGTTTTTTATCGATTTATAGTGATTTATAACAGTTTGTAACAACTATATTATAATAAAATATCGGATTCATTTTTATTCGATTACAGGATTTATATAGGGTCATATCTCGGGCTAAGCTAATTTTATATTTACATGCGCCTGGCTAAATCGGTTTGTGGCATGACGTATATCATATCACATGTATCACCCTAGATCCCTGTGCGAAGTTCTATAAATCACGAGATGATCGGCCAATCAGATTTCACCTCCCTTGATCCCATACTGAAATTCGAAAAAAAAGAAACATTTTTCTTGGCAAAGGTTGCTGACCATTGGTCAGGATGTCACATGATTTCTTATTTTTCTTCTCATTAGCTAGGTTATCATTATTATTCGATTAATCATTACAGTATATTGATCAAATTAATTAATCATGCTATGATCTAACATATCTCTTGATATTTCTGAAACTGAAAAAACTGGAGGTTCATTTTCTCATTGACGAATGAAAGCATAGTATCATGTTACTCCAAATAAAATGAAACGACTTTTTTGGAATGATGAGAATATGTTATTCTGATCAAGAGGAAAAAATCACAAAATCACATGCACTAGGGAGATAACAGGTTAACAAGAATATAATCAAAAGTTAAAAACAATAAAACACACCCGTTCTCTTGCCACTTTTTATCGAGATTAATGTTTTCCCAGAATTCCTTTATCCCATGTGTTTCATCCTTACAAAAAAAGAATGGAAAGTTAAAATTTTGACGAGTATGAATAGAAGATTTACAATTACAATTACAGTCACAATTACGAACTAGGAACGGCACCCATCACCCGGGTAGGAACGGCACCCCCCGAGCTGTTCGAAACAGGATATTACATTGTAGGAACGGCACCCCATACCTCGGAGTAGGAACGGCACCCCTCCAAGGCTATGCAACTCCTGTTTAAGAAAATGGAGATTAAGTACCTTCTGTAATAGTGAAGTCGCAACTTTAACTTGCTCATTATCTCGTTTCTCAGACACAATTCTTTTTAGAACATTACGATATCGCTTTCGCAAAGCGGAGTTCTCAGAGAGTGACACGTCTTGATCAGTAGACATAAATACCGGTTTTAACGTTTCTAAAAAACTCAGATATGACCAATCTGAAGGAGGAGTATCATTGAAATACGAATCGCAGAACATATCTGAAAATTACAATCAATTAATACTGCTAGAAAAAAGTGTAAATGTGATCTACTTATTTACCTAAATGTGATTTCATTGACACCGACATAACGAAAGAGTCTTTGTAAATCGTGAAAGAGAAGTAGTAACACGAACGCGAATTTTTTTACGATATACTGCGCCAGATTTCGTGACATGTGATTGATTAGTCAGATGTGGGGGCTGATCGCCGCCGGCGATAAATGGCAAACTCCTATTTATTATATTAATTATATTTAATATAATCGATATAATTATTTTATTTATGTATTATATTTAATTTATTTATTATATTTATTATATTAGATATATTTATTAGAATTTTTATAACTACAGTCAAACCTAAATATCGTTATATCAAAGTTATACCGATATTTATATATCCTCACATATAGTGGGAAAATAAAATTTTATCGGTATATCAAGTTTTTAATAGTATATCGGTATATCGAATATCGGTATATCGAGGTTAGACTGTATAACCGGTGGTTAACATCACCGGTATCACATGACATTATAAAAATCATGTGACTTCAACATTTTTTACGATCAAAAAAATTTTATTTTTTTTTAATAAAAGACAAAGTACAAAAATCAATATTATAACTAAATTTAATTGGCTATATATCATTGATTTTGTTTATTACATGTCCTAGCATTGTGACCTGGTTCCCCACAAACTTTACATATATAGGTTTTCCAATTTGATGTATTTTCGCTCCTTTCTTGTCTTTGTGTATTAAAATCACTACTAGTATTGGTATCAAGTACATTAAAAGGTGTTCTTGATGAAGACGCTTGCTGAGGATGTTGTTGCACTTCACATACATACAAGTTAGGATCAGATGGATTTATTGCACTATTTTTTGTACTAACATGACGTGAATTTGTCTCTGAGGCTGACTTAATCCGTTTATTTGGTGGATGTCCAAGTCATTTCTGAACTATAGGATCTAAAATCTGTAGATTTTCTTCATTGTTTTTATCGTTGTTTGCATCTTTAATAATATTTTTCTTGCAATTAATAAACTTATTAATCATATCAATAATTTCATTTTCACATCCCAAATCAAGAGCTAAATTAAGAGCTTTCTTCATCTTTCCAAACCCATATGCATACTTAACTTTCCTTTGTAAACATTGTTTAATATTATTTGTAAATACGTCTGGTATTCTAAGTTGCTTAAATATATGCAAATCAGTTACTAAAGCAGTATTGTTATCATTTTGTTGAAACTGTGTTACTATTCCAACAGTTTCATCTTGTAAATTTGCTTGAATGTATTGATCTTGAATATCCTCTATATACCATCGTCTGGCAATAAGACCAATGTTAAATTTCGCCACCTTTGAATTTATCATAACTTGAAAATAATGTAAACATACAAGTCCACGATTAATTATAGCCAAACAAGTACATAAATGACCACCATCTATTAATAATATAATATAATGCTTGTAGGTTTTTTTGGTAAGGCTATAAAGTTCCCAAATTTCTATAATGTCAGACAGTTCTATTTCTTCCAATAAAGAAAATAGAGAAGTTTGCGGTCTATTCAAATGATCTTCAAGAAATCCTTCATTATAGTTACATTGATCATCATCCTAATTAAGAAATGTAACATTTCGCATATAGTTATATGACATCAGTGGCTTTTTTTTCACTTCGTTACAAATCTCAAAACACTAAATTTTTAAAGTTTCATACCTTTATTGTATTAATTGACTCTTTAGAAATAATCTTAGTACTATATAACAAAGAACCAAGAATTTGTTGTTGTTGAACTGACAAAATATGAGGAGTTAAATATTTCTTCATTAATTCAACAACCTTAGGAAATATGGGTTCAATAATTGAAGGTACCTGGTTAGTTGGAAGACTTTGAAGATATGCATTATGTCGAGCCCATTGTGCTTTATTGTTTAATAATTTTTGAATTTGAATATGTAAATTACACAGTGAAGTAGTACTACTGGTGCTTTCTTTAATTAAATGGTTCATAACTTCAACCCTTTGTGTACTTTAAATACCCGCTGTAAAACACTTAGTTTGATAGCATCTTGCCCATGTTTGATAACAATTATTCAAAGTTCGATTAAGATACTCTTGGGTTTGTGAATATTTTTCAAGTAATCGTGTCCAACGCCGGTGAAAATCATTCACAAATAGACTATTTCGGGTATGTAGAAATTCCTTATAAAATGATTGGTATTCTTTGCCTAATTTACCTGCTAAATTTTTTCGTAGGTTTTCTTGAATGTGAAAAATGCAAAGAAAATGATGTGATTCAGAGAATTTTGATGTTACTGCATTTATTAAAGCAGGATCTGCATCAGAAAATAAGCAAGTAGGCGGATTATTATTAGTTGTTTGAAGAAGACAATCAAGAAACCATTCATAACTTTCAATTGTCTCATCTTCTGATAAACATTGAGCAACAAGACGGCTTTTAGTATTATTATCAACTATGACTAAAAGAGTTAAATACATATCAAACCAATTGGTTTGGCATGTATTATCAGTTTGTACAATATCATTATATCGCAAAAGACACTGATGCTGATTAGGAGACATCTAGAATAAGCCCACAAGACGATTATCAAAAGGATCAAGTCTTGTGTAAATAATCCACCCAGGTTCTTGATCTTTTAGCTCAAATAATTTGTTAATCATATTCTGAGTATCTCCATGTCGATTGGTAAGTGGTGATTTAAACTTTTGAATTGCATTGTAAAGATCTCTTTTATAAATATACTGATCTGGAAAACTTGCAACCAATAATGGATATATTTGTTTAGATTCCATATTTCCTTTATTAACATAGAATTCGATCTTTTCAAGTATTTCATTTGATAATTTGCGATAAGGTGCGTATAAATGTATATCAGTGATCATACTATAATTATGTTCACCAGTAATGCTCGTGATGCTTACTTCTGTTGATGATTTAGGCATTGTAAGATTTATATGCCATGGACATATAATTTTTTGAGATGAACGTTGTCGTTGATGAGTTATATCAATTATTTGATTAGAAATAGATTTACCTGAAAAAGAACATTCAAATGTTCGACATCGCACAATTCTATTATTATCAGATTCAACGCGTTTTCTTCTCAAGGAAAATCCAGCAAATTTAGCATATTGATTAAGCTTTATTTCTGCATCCTCCCATGTAGAAAATGAAGTACCAACTTTAATGTCAATATTAGATTCATCTGACATTATACCTTCTAGTTGATCATTTAGGATATTAGATACATATGTTTTGTTATGTTTATCTTTATCCATACTTGTATATAATAGCAAAATCAAATGAAAGAATAAAACAGTTGAAGTGTAAAGGATAAAGATTATAGAGAAAAGTAATGTGTTCAGCAAAATAATAATTTAAACGTGTTTAATGGGGGAGAGTAATGGGAGAGTAATGGAGAGTAAGAAAAGACATAAGCCA